CAGATTCTTCTAGACTCGAGTAAAGGAGTGTGGTTCGAGTTCTTCTGTCTAAAGAGACAATGTTCTCAGTTCACTCATTGTAAAGCTCCAATGCTGAGTTTTATTTTATTTTTTTATCATAAACTAAGTTAGCTGACAATACACATGCTAGCTCAGCACATAATTAGCCTAATACATTGGAATACCGTACTAATATCAATATTTCTCTAATCGCGTTTAGATTCTCAATTTAATACACTATATTTTGATGTATTAGAATTTGTATAAAATAAAAAGTTATTTACGTTACCTTCCGTAGATTGCAATATGTCCATTGTTCGTTGTCCATATTCCTTGTTTGTTCTTCATTTACATCCCGCAACTCGCTCAAAATAAACATTTAGCAGTCCGATGTAAAATAATCCATGTTTTAAACAATGTAAAAGCCACAAAACCGAAGTAGGTCCCGAGCAGGAGCACAGACACCCACTCACTTCAACTGACGTATTCAAACTTGACTGGTAAAGGCGCGCATAGTTGTCATTGGCCAGATTCCTGGATGACAGTCAGAATAACCAATCATGCTCAAAACAACTCGGAGAGACAGCCAATAGTGTGAAAACATTGCAATAACAGGACAATATGAAATGTTTTAAAAGAAAGAATAGGAAAAAAATATACACGTGCTATTTAGTTGTATTTGTAGGCTGGCTGTTATATTTAATCAATTGTTTAAATGTGTTTTCATTGCAGTGCATGATTAAAAATGAAAGATAAAAAATGAAAGATAAAAAATGAAAGATTAAACAGTAACTTGTATACCATATATAATAACATTTATTTATCACTGTTCTGATAAACAGCAATTTATCAGAACAGTGCATAATGAGTGTCCTTACATGCAAACCGAAGCATTGAGAACTTTGTAAGTGTATAGACAGTTTAATAAGAAGATACTTTACACAGACAGTACAGTTAGCGCATACAGACAGGAGCCATCTTGGAAAACAGTCTCGACCAATCGAACCACGAGAGTGAGCGAACAGTACGTGTAGATATTGAAGATAAGATAAATTATATTTATTTTTTTATTTTCTCTGTTGCGTTAAGTGCTTCTCTTATGCGAGACTGTTTTCCAAGATGGCTGCTGTCTGTATGCGCTAACTGTACTGTCTGTGTAAAGTATCTTCTTATTAAACTGTCTATACACTTACAAAGTTCTCAATGCTTCGGTTTGCATGTAAGGACACTCATTATGCTGCCGTGTTAGTGTGGGGCTAATTTGAGCCTTGTTAATGGTATTAACTAGCGATCTCTTTTTGCTTACTCGATGCCCAATATACTAGCGTTATAAGCTAAACTGTTTTTAGAGATAAAACTCTTTACATTCGATTATCATGAAAACAAATCTCAGGGAACGATTTAGTCTGTACCAATGTGTTATTACACCCGAGGTTCATTTTGCGCCGGAGTTCTCCTTTAAGCCTGTAGTCCAGACTAAAATGCACGTTTGAGCTGTATTACCTGAAAGCAACTTGTAGGCTATACTGACATATCTTATGTCAGTGCCATTGTTTTGTCTCAAGATGCACACCAGTAATGTTTTTTTCTTCTAAGGTACATTTTTAAAAGCTATAATTGAATGCCCAAATTTAACTAAGGCCTAATCCTGGCTTTATATCTAAACCCTGTCTGTGAAACCGGGGGTTAGAAATTAAGGGGTTAACCCTAACCTTAACCCTTGTCTACAGACTTTTATTTAACAGCATGGATACTCCAAGGTGTTGACTGCAGTGGTTAGGTCTTTAGCATTGATAAAGGACAAAGATCTTCTCACTGTGACAGTCTGTAATGTATTTTAGCAATGATTGTTTGTAAGGATTGTCCCTAAAATAGAGCTATTGATGCATTCAAGACATGTCATAAAGATCGTATTTACGAATTGAACACACATGAACGCCACCACAATGATGAAAATAGGAAGTTATTTACTGTAAAATTAGGATATTTTTTTTACAGTGCAGTATGAACATCTGTTCTGAACTAGTTCTGGCTGTCAGTGGACGTTTAGATAATGGCCAGATTGGACATCTTTTATTTACGTAATTTATTGACTGTTTCTGGATGTCAACGGACGTCCAGATTATAGTCAGTATGAACGTCTTTTCTCAACTAGTTCTGGCTGTCAGTGGACGTTTAGATAATGGCCAGATTGGACATCTTTATTCACGTCATTTATGGACCATTTCTGGATGTCAACGGACGTCCAGATTATAGTCAGTATGAATGTCTTTTCTCAACTAGTTCTGGCTGTCAGTGGACGTTTAGATAATGGCCAGATTGGACATCTTTATTCACGTCATTTATGGACTATTTCTGGATGTCAACGGACGTCCAGATTATAGTCAGTATGAACGTCTTTTCTCAACTAGTTCTGGCTGTCAGTGGACGTTTAGATTGTGGCCAGATTGGACATCTTTATTCACGTCATTTATGGACCATTTCTGGATGTCAACGGACGTCCAGATTATAGTCAGTATGAACGTCTTTTCTCACCTAGTTCTGGCTGTCAGTGGACGTTTAGATAATGGCCAGATTGGACATCTTTATTCACGTCATTTATGGACCATTTCTGGATGTCAACGGACGTCCAGATTATAGTCTGTATGAATGTCTTTTCTCAACTAGTTCTGGCTGTCAGTGGACGTTTAGATAATGGCCAGATTGGACATCTTTATTCACGTCATTTATGGACCATTTCTGGATGTCAACGGACGTCCAGATTATAGTGAGTATGAATGTCTTTTCTCAACTAGTTCTGGCTGTCAGTGGACGTTTAGATAATGGCCAGATTGGACATCTTTATTCACGTCATTTCTGGACTATTTCTGGATGTCAACGGACGTCCAGATTATAGTCAGTATGAACGTCTTTTCTCAACTAGTTCTGGCTGTCAGTGGACGTTTAGATAATGGCCAGATTGGACATCTTTATTCACGTCATTTATGGACCATTTCTGGATGTCAACGGACGTCCAGATTATAGTCAGTATGAATGTCTTTTCTCAACTAGTTCTGGCTGTCAGTGGACGTTTAGATAATGGCCAGATTGGACATCTTTATTCACGTCATTTATGGACCATTTCTGGATGTCAACGGACGTCCAGATTATAGTCAGTATGAACGTCTTTTCTCAACTAGTTCTGGCTGTCAGTGGACATTAAGATAATGGCCAGATTGGATATCTTTATTCACGTCATTTATGGACTATTTCTGGATGTCAACGGACGTCCAGATTATAGTCAGTATGAACGTCTTTTCTCAACTAGTTCTGGCTGTCAGTGGACGTTTAGATTATGGCCAGATTGGACATATTTTTTTAAGTCATTCATCGACTAATTCTGGATGTCACCGGACGTTCAGATTATAGCCAGTATGAACGTCTTTTCTCAACTAGTTCTGGCTGTCAGTGGACGTTTAGATTATAGCCAGATTGGACATAATTTCTCATTGTCATTAATCAACTAATTCTGGATGTCAATGGACGTTCAGATTATGGCCTGGACGGACGGACGTGATATCAACCTGTTTTGTATGTCCACAGACGTCGCTTGCTCAGTGGGTATGTTGTAAAATTTTGCTCAACATCATGATATCGTATATTATAGGCTATGAATGGAAAAGTGACTTTATTTAGAAGTATTGTTGTTAAATATTGTAGACATGGATCCGATCAAAAACCATGTGAAAACAGCTTGTATTTAACAAAAATATGTATATATATTTTTTTTAACAAAAATAAAATTACGTTTATGGTTAGCGCAACTATGAATGTTAAGCCCCGCCCCTCACTTCCGGTTCTGTGTCTGAAGTGATTCTGAATCTGCGGTTCTGTCTCGAGGAAACAGAAAGAAGTTCCTGTTTTCGACCAGCGAGTTGGTGGTTATGCTGACTGAATCATAAAGATGCCAGTAAAAGGGATAGTTCACCCAAAAATGAAAATGTTGTCATCATTTACTCAGCCTCATGTTGTTCCAAACCTGTAAGTGTTTCTCTCTTCTGTTAAACACAAAATAAATTATTTTGATGAATGTTAGTACCAGGCAGTTGATGGACCCCATTGACTTCCACAGTAGGAAAGAAAATACTATGGAAGGGGTGGACTGGTCATCTGGAAGACTGACATGCTTTTTGTGCCGAGGTTACATCTCATAATTTATTTATTTTTTTCCTGAGAGACCGACCCATGAATCGAGATATTGGTGCCGGGTCTTTCTCCATCGGTTTGGTCTTTTTGGGTTCAGCATTTACAGCACTGCTGCCATCTTGTGTACATTCATGGCAAATGTTTGATATCAGTGTCTGGCACAAGTGTGTGTCTATCCAGCAAGATGACCAACCCTGACCACTACATACATAATGCATGAGACATAACCACTGCATAAACTACTTTAATAACACAAATTAACTATCTGGGTGCTGGATCTTTTTTGCCCAGACATTCATTTTAGAGTGAATATTTGGGGTGTATTATGTATAATATCTGACTTACAGTAGGATATCCTGACGCCAATATTTTTATTTATTGTAAATATGTAATTCAATTATGAAAACAAAACTAATGGACACAATTTGAAATTGATTCAAAAAGAAGTCTTAACAGAATGCATTCACATTTTACATTTGACAGAGGATTTTATTCAAAGTGATTTACATTACATTCAATGTTTACAGTAGCCTGCATCAAACTCTTCACATTGGCACTTATGTGCAAAACTAAATCCCTATGATTTAATGGCTAAATAAAATAGAATAAAACGCCTTCTCTACTTTCCACCACAAAAGGAAAATAAAGCAGAAAATTGACTGTAAAAATATATTTTTTTAAATGTTTTTCTAAACAATACCAATTTTTAGAGGCTATTTATTTCTACACAGAAAGGTCAAAGAGCAACAGTGAAAGTTGAGAAACAGTCCCAGTTGTCCCAGAGCGCCAGTTGACTCAGTGACGCTGGGATTCAGAGAGTCCATGATGAGCAGAAGTGTGTGGCATCTATAACACACACACACACACAGATGCTGTTTCTGAGGGAAAACAGGTGTTTTATTTACATTATAAAACATATAGTACTGATTTTCCACAAAAAAAAAAAAACTAAATAAGCCTAATCTTGCGTCTCCCACATAAAAGGAGGCGTCTTAAAAGGTATTTAACAAATCAGGTGGCCGTTACAATTTACAGTCAATATGAATATTTATTAATACATTTATTAATACAGATGTACTGTGAATAATTCATGAGTTTATAAATGGTCATAGATTCACATAGATAGAGCAAATGATAAGCACAGATGAAAGAATGGAAACATATTTGAATATTTTTAAAAGATTAAAGAAGTCTTACCGTGAAAGGCTATGATAGGAAAAGGATTATAATTATAACCATAGTGACTGAAGGAATGACAGCCGACACGACACATCCTTTGTTTGATTCTAATGTGGGGAAAAATATGTTATAAAACCAATTCCTGGAACGCATATTTAAATTATATCTTGCATTACTGATTTATGACATACTCTAAAGAAAATCATGTATATTCATCATTACTTTCAGATTTATGTGGTTAATGTCCCTCCAGCGTCTCACCTTTAAACTGATCAGGTTTGGGGACCGGCACTGTGATTGTGAAAGAAACAATGGTGTTGACTGACTTATTTGCATATTTTCATTTGTCCTAAAGCATATTAAAAAGCCCACATAGACATATAAACAACATTGATTTTCACCACAGGGGTCTTTAAATGTCTTATATGGTTATTAAATTGCATCTAAATAAAAGCATAAGTACAGGTGAAACTCGAAAAATTAGAATATCGTGCAAAAGTTATAATTTTGATGATTATGGGCCCTATCTTGCACCCGGCGCAATTGACTTTGTACACCGACGCATGTGTCATTCGTATTTTGCATCCGCGCAAAGCGAACTTTTCCCTCCACAGACGCAAGCCGGCAAACTAGGGAATGAACTTGCGCTCCCTGGGCGGTTCAGCGCAAAAAAGGAGGCGTGTTTCGGCGCAAACAATCCCTAGTGCTATTTTGCAGTTCCAGAAAACAATTGCGCCACTGACCAGAAAAACCCTAGTCTAAAGTCAGTGGCGCGCTGCGCGTACATTCAGATGCTATTTTAAGCGCGCATGCTTGGCCATAAGACAGAGTGTGAACAACGCGCATACACTGTAGATGATTCTCTCATCTACACAGATGCATTTTACTTTTTGCAAATGATACATTATTATAAATACAAATATTAAAACACGAGGGAAATCATTGTTGTGTCCATGACGATGGGAAAAATAGGCATAAAGCTTACACATTTTCCCAAATTATTATATGCATGTTTAACCGAAGCTAATTTGGGTGGGTTTGTCCCATTCCCAATGTCACTTCTCTTTCTTTTACGGCCCTGACGAGAACATCGATCTCCTCGGCTGTGACCCGATTCGTAAATGCGCCGTTATAATAGTATTGCGCCATGGAACAAGCACACCTTGTTCATCATGCTCTTAAAGGGAATGTGATATGACGCTCTTATTGGTTTGTTTCCCGTTACGCCCAAACCACACCTATGAATAATGAAGCTACTTCAGACCAACCCCTTTTAGATTTGCGTCGAGCGCAAGAGTCATTTATCCCGCCGGGAAAATAGCAACAGCGCCGAGATCCGCCCACAAAGTTACTTGCGCTTCGCGCTTGACACTTGCGTTTTAGATCGTTAAAATAGGGCCCTATGTCTTACAGCTTATGAAAACCCCAAACTCAAAATCTCAAAAAAATTAGCTATAAATCAATAAAAAAAAGGATTTTAAATACAGAAATGTCAACCCTCTGAAAAGTATAATCATGCATATGTGGCCTATATAGTTATATATACTAAATATATTAGTTTCACCTTTTAACTTGAATTACTGAAATACATGAACTTTTGCACGATATTCTAATTTTTCGAGTTTCATCTGTATATTCTTCTTGCATACAGGTTGTGTTTAGTGTCCGTCCAGCGTCTCACCTTTAAACAGATCTCTCTCATAGACCGGATCACTGGTCTTGTTACTCACTGCGTTCTGGAGTGAACAGGTGTAGGAGATTTCTGGATTTCCTGTTTTTGTGACATTAATGAACTCTCCTTTCGGTTGGAGCGCTGAACCCGTCAGTATTTCTACAGCAGAATTATTCCAGATGATTGTTTCACTGTACTCGCATCTCAAATACACAACACCAGAGTTATCAGTCGCCTCTATTTTAATCACAGGTTTGGGGACCGGCTCTGTGAAAGAAACAATAAAACAAATGAACATTCAGTCTATAAAGTAACATAATTAAATCAAACACAACTACACCAGCATTGGAAAAAGTTCTGTGACAGTACCATGTCAATGATGGTAGAGGGTAAAATCCAGTTACTAACCAAAACTATAACTTAGTACAAAGTACTGTAATACTACAGTGGTTTTGGACATGTGGTATTCTTGAAAGTATCTTGGAGTACCATGTATATACCACTGTATTAATCTGATGCCATTACTGTACAATTACATAGTTTTTTTTTTTTTTTTTATATATGTGTGGCTAAGTAAAAACAACCATAATAATAATAATAATATGATGCATTTATAATATTAATATTAATGAATGTAATAATCAGCAGTCACTCACCCATAACATTCAAGGTGAATCTTTGTGTCTGCTCTTTACCGCTGAGGTCAACGGTATAAACTCCAGTATGTGCGACTGTTAGATTAGTAATAGTGATTTGTCCAGTCCCTGTATTAAGAGTCGTGATGCCTTTGAATCTCGCATTCAGGACTGTAGTTTCTTCTCCGTCTTCCCATTCAATCGCCTTCACAGTTAATTCACCAGCTTTTAAGTGTTTCCATGTGATGCTGGTGACAGGAGAAACAATTTTGTCTAGTTTAAAAGAAACTTGATCACCCACTGCTTTCGTCACCTCTTGACCTAATAATCAAAATACGAGAGAGTATGTTAGTCAACATTCAACAAGAAAGTCTGGTCTAGCCGAGTAATTTCCAGGAAGTGAATATATAACATATATAGGCCTATATATCCCTTGCTTGATGGTAAATGAAATTAGAAAATAAAAATAATTTCAATACAGAAACTCTTCAGTCTCTTCCGTCATTTAATAGCTATTCATGAATTTGAGTACAATACTATGATAATAGTTATATAACTAAACTAACTTATAGGGGCAGATTTACTAAACAGGGCAAATTAGTCTGAGAGTGCAATTCCAAAACAGCGCCGATGAGAGTGTTGATCTACTGACGACGTGCAAATTAAAGAACATAGGCCGTTTCTCAATATGCGTTCGTGTCTGTACTTGTGAACTTGTGAAACGCCATCAGTCGCTGCCCAAGTACTGTCCCAATTCAAAGTTCACATCTAGCCAAGTCCAGTTCAAATCCCCGGATGTGTTCTTGATCCGCCCCTTTCACCGAGGATGCATCGAGAGGTGACAGTGGGTGCTTCTCAATTATTATTTGTGCATCCTTGTTTCCTTTCCTCGCGTCTCGTTATACAAATATATTTGGTAAGCTTCCCTTCCCTGATATTATCGTGATTAATTTACCCTCAATGTATTGTTTGTGTAAGATGAATTTACTATTTATATTCCGTGGCTAGCTTTATTTATTTGTATTTTTTTATTTTACTTATCTGGAATAATTGTACTGTATATGTATGTGTGTGTGTAGATATATACAGTAGCCTATATATACTTTTTTTTATGCTTATATATTTATGATATGAGAAATGTGTTAACTATTTGAATTCTGTTTTGTGTTTGTAAGTATCTGACTAATTTTTGTAATCTATAATAAAGTTCAATAAAAATAAATAAATAAATAACACCACAAATAACTCTATGATATATTCAGTGAAGATAATCTGTTGCCTGAACCACATTTGTGTATTGTGTGGCCATTCATATGTTTAAGATTTTTTAAAATGAAAATGAAAAGAGGCAGAGTGGTGTTTTATAACTTATTTTGTTTTATTGTAGACTAAATATACATAAAGAGATAACCGGAGTAGCCAGAGCGAGCTGAATGACGATATCAAGAACGCCGCGGTTTCATTAGCAGAATTAGCCTAACGTTATCGGACTTCCTCCCGTCCTCGGGAGTTCCTTCTCCTGAGTCGAACTTTTCAAATCCGAAGTTTACGTACTTGGTATTGAGAAACGACCATATCAGTCAGATAATTTCCATAATGCTCAACACAATCTACCAGTAAATCACCTTGCGTGATTCATTTAAATTCTCTCCTCCCGCCGTACATTTTGGGCCTGACAGGGAAACTCGCACATGCAATAAGGTCCCCCGCAAAATAACCCATCCATCCTTTTCAGAGCTAATTTTTCCACAGCGTGTCTCGATAAAATCCTCCGGACAGTCGTTTTTTAACACCAAAAGAGTGTTTGCACAGGAGGAAGATGTAAATCTGACCCTACCTGTTTAGGTTAGCTAAGTTAACTGTTTAGGTTTAGCTAACTGTTTAGGTTTGCCAACAACGGCGTGTCATTTCCAGTTAAACATTAAAAACTCACCCGAAGCAGCTTCTGTGGTGGAGAACACAACGACGGAGATCAACGTCAAGAGTTGAAGTGACATTTTTGTTAGAAAAAGTAGACTTAAATCACCTTTCTTCGAGATTTTGCTCAGAGACACAAACATGCAGAGGGCGAGGCGTGGTGCCTAAGCTATAAGGAAGGAAGTTTGGAAATAAAAACGCCTGGCATTGTGTTGGTCTTTCCATGAGTCTTAAAGCAACTTACTGCTGTGCTGCTGATTCGTTCATTGCAAACGTGTGAAATTAAATTTTAATCCCCAACTTTTCCCAGACATGAAAATATCCAAATGAGGTAGACATAGTTGCCGCTTGAAATAATATATATATATATATATATATATATATATATATATATATATATATATATATATATATATATATATATATATATATATATATATAGTACATATATATATATATATATATATATATATATAGTTTTTTTATGGAAAAGTGTGTGGAAAAATCGTGTTTTATGTTCGGTCACAATTGGTGTATAATGTGTACAGTAGGCCTATAATGAAAATTCTTATAGCCTGTATATCAGCCCAGTTATTTAACACATTTTAAACTCTTTCATGTCATTTTAGGGTTACTATTAAATATAAAAACCTTTATACAACACTTATAGGAATACTGAGATAAGAGGCAAAAACTCTCTGTGGTCATTAAAAATCCCAGGATGTCTTTCGAAAGAGTAGGGGTGTAACCCCGGCATCCTGGCCAAATTTGCCCAGTGGCCTCTGTCCATCATGGCCTCCTAATCATCCCCATATATATATATATATATATATATATATACACTGATTGGCTTCATCACTCTGTCTCCTCTCCACCAGTAAGCTGGTGTGTGGTGAGCGTTCTGGCGCACTATGGCTGCCGTCGCATCATCCAAGTGGATGCTGCACATTGGTGGTGGTTGAGGAGATTCCCCCTTCCATGTGAAGCGCTTTGAGTGCCTAGAAAAGCGCTATATAAATGTAATGAATTATTATTATTATTATTATTAAAAAAGATAATGCTAAAAATACAACCATCTGTATTTTCCCACTGGTCACTATTGTTGCCATCAACTTCTTTACGCATTCTATGACCACAATCAACAAAAGTGAATATTTGTGAATTCATTTATTAATACTAGACACCTTAAAGATAATGTGTACCAAAAATCTTTGTGTTAACATACTTTACAATCCTTTTGTGTTGGAGCTTTGATGAAGCCATCCTCTACTGATGGTGCAAACAGGAATTAAACTGCTCTGGTCATGTGACATTTTGCACTAACCACGTGAAACAACACAAAATTTGACTGAGACCCTCTATTCTCTCTATATTTGGCAGAAATGCACTAAAACATCAGTCAATAACATTTTTAGAGCTTCATAAATTAACACTTTCTTTACGATCACTATTGTGACCAGTGGGATTAAATGTACAAACCATTACCATAATGCATGAAAAATAACCACACTAGATGCATTCACATTATACAGATGATTTTATTCAGGATTTGCATTCAATGTTTACTATTTTATTGGTTCATGTCCCTTTATCAAACTCATCACATTTTGGATGTGAGCGTAGAACAATCCCTTTGCCTTGGTAGCTACATATAACAGAATTAAATTCCTTCTCTGCTTTTCCCCACAAAAGAAAAATGATTCAGAATGATGTATTTATTTATACGCTACTCTCTGTTTGGTGCCATGAAGATATTGTCATCTTGTCCCTCCTTGAAAAAGTATTTGCATATGTAACTAGATTTAGGCCTAAATATTCAGAACCAGAGGAGACAGTCAAAGATATGAAGCACCGACGGTTATGAAGAAAGTTATGAAGCACAGACGGTTAAAAGCGGAGGCTTTAGTAAAGCTGGGATTCAGAGCCGATGACCAGGCGAATGTGTCGAGAGATACACATGAGGCTTTGCATTTGAAGAGTCAGGAGGTTCATGATGAGCATCAGTCATTCACTCATGAATGTCATTTCTGTGGGGAAAAAACTGTATAAAAAAAAAACATGCTTGTTTTTAAATGTACATGATAAAAACACATACAGTAGTACCTTGGATGCTGATTGGTCAGACATGAAACAGACAGAATTCATCAACTGTGTATACCCATAGAGACTAAGATCCATTTTATTTGTCTATAATATTGCACACAGTAATGATTTTCTACAAGGAATAAAGAAAATAAACTTACTCTACAAGCATCTCCTAAGCAAGCAGCACAAACACCTTGAATAGAAGGGAGACACTAATTATTAGTCAACATGAAATCATATTCAACCTATTTATACTTCATGGATACACATTCTTATTTTTATGTGAATGATTCATAAGCGCATGTTTTCTGCTGACATCTCGCAGAGAGCAATGGCTACTAATGTTAACCTATAGCCTTATAATTATTTAAGCATTGTTTTAGCAAACTCAAAATGAAGGTCTTTACACATTCTGCCATTTTCACAATTGAACAAATTCCCAGATACAATGAAGTCCTGCCCTACATTTCTTCACTTAATATCCGGCTTCACAATAAATGTGACATTATGGAAGTAAAACATTTTGCAAATGGCAAATTTCCTCAAGTTTGAGACAATGGTTAAAATGCTGTTTTGAGCTAATGATAAAGAAACATTTCAAATGTTTGAAAGATTAAATACAGTCTCACCATATAAACAGGATCAGCAAAAGGACCACTGGGATGACAATTGCAATGATAATTGCAATGTCAGATATTTCAAATGAGTCTACTGAAAAAAAAATAGGTTATTACAGTTGGCATGAAATGTAAATTCACCTATGTGTTTTCTAAATGCATGTTATAGATCTTATGGTGAATGCAAGTTTTAATACGCAAGTTTAGTTAGATTATTAAGGTTATTTATTGATAAGTGAATTATTCAATTGTGTCCTGCATACTGCATATAGTGAATTAAAGCATTACCTAAATTATAGTATCTAGCTAGAAACATATATATTTTACGCAAGTGTGCAAATGTATGGAAGCGCTGGCCAGTATTGAAGCTTGTTTATTTCTTAACATAAGTTTAAGCTAATTTGTGGTGGTTGAGGAGATTCCCCCTTACATGTGAAGCGCTTTGAGTGCCTAGAAAAGCGCTATATAAATGTAATGAATTATTTCTTGTTTGTTTCTTCCACGAAATAAAAAATAAAATAACATAACATAACATAATTGTGTGACTTTTTATCTCACAATTCAGACATTATGACTAACAACTGTGAGTTTTTATCTCATAATTCGGAACCACAAGTCTGAATTGTGAGTTATAAACTTAATTACGAGAAATAGGTAAAGTAAAAACAATAAGGTATAAACTCACAATTGCAAGGAAAAAAGTTAGAAGTTTAAGATATAAACTCGGAATTGAGAGAAAAAGTCATAAGTTTAAGATATAAACTCAAAATTGAGAAAAAAAGTCATAAGTTTAAGATATAAACTCAGAATTGAGAGAAAAAGTCAGAAGTTTAAGATATAAACTCGGAATTGAGAGGAAAAAAGTCAGAAGTTTAAGATATAAACTCAGAATTGAGAGAAAAAGTCATAAGTTTAAGATATAAACTCAGAATTGAGAGAAAAAGTCAGAAGTTTAAGATATAAACTCGGAATTGAGAGGAAAAAAGTCAGAAGTTTAAGATATAAACTCAGAATTGAGAGAAAAACTCTGAAGTTTAAGATATAAACTCAGAATTGATAGAAAAAAAGTCAGAAGTTTAAGATATAAACTCAGAATTGAGAGAAAAACTCTGAAGTTTAAGATATAAATTCGGAATTGAGAGGAAAAAAGTCAGAAGTTTAAGATATAAACTCAGAATTGAGAGAAAAATTCAGAAGTTTAAGATATAAACTCGGAATTGAGAGGAAAAAAGTCAGAAGTTTAAGATATAAACTCAGAATTGAGAGAAAAAGTCAGAAGTTTAAGATATAAACTCAGAAATGAGCGAAAAAAGTCAGAAGTTTAAGATATAAACTCAGAAATGAGCGAAAAAAGTCAGAAGTTTAAGATATAAACTCAGAATTGAGAGAAAAAAGTCTGAAGTTTAAGATATAAACTCAGAATTGAGAGAAAAACTCTGAAGTTTAAGATATAAACTCAGAAATGAGCTAAAAAAGTCAGAAGTTTAAGATATAAACTCAGAAATGAGCGAAAAAAGTCAGAAGTTTAAGATATAAACTCAGAATTGAGCGAAAAAAATCAGAAGTTTAAGATATAAACTCAGAATTGAGAGAAAAAGTCAGAATTTTAAGATATAAACTCGGAATTGAGAGGGAAAAAGTCAGAAGTTTAAGATCTAAACTCAGAATTGAGAGAAAAACTCTGAAGTTTAAGATATAAACTCAGAATTGAGAGGAAAAAAGTCAGAAGTTTAAGATATAAACTCAGAAATGAGCGAAAAAAGTCAGAAGTTTAAAATATAAACTCGGAATTGAGAGAAAAACTCTGAAGTTTAAGATATAAACTCAGAAATGAGCGAAAAAAGTCAGAAGTTTAAGATATAAAATCAGAATTGAGCGAAAAAAGTCCGAAGTTTAAGATATAAACTCGTAAATGAGAGAAAAAAGTCCGAAGTTTAAGATATAAACTCAGAATTGAGCGAAAAAAGTCAGAAGTTTAAGATATAAACTCAGAATTGAGGAAAAAAAAGTCAGAAGTTTAAGATATAAACTCAGAATTGAGGGAAAAAAAGCCAGAAGTTTAAGATATAAACTCGAAATTGAGCTAAAAAAGTCAGAAGTTTAAGATATAAACTCAGAATTGAGAAAAAAAGTCAGAAGTTTAAGATATAAACTCAGAATTGAGCGAAAAAAGTCAGAAGTTTAAGATATAAACTCAAAATTGAGCTAAAAAAGTCAGAAGTTTAAGATATAAACTCAGAATTGAGAGAAAAACTCTGAAGTTTAAGATATAAACTCAAAAATGAGCGAAAAAAGTCAGAAGTTTAAGATATAAACTCAGAAATGAGAGCAAAAAAGTCAGAAGTTTAAGATATAAACTCAGAATTGAGAAAAAAAGTCAGAAGTTTAAGATATAAACTCAGAATTGAGAAAAAAAGTCGGAAGTTTAAGATATAAACTCAGAATTGAGAGAAAAAGTCAGAAGTTTAAGATATAAACTCAGAATTGAGAGAAAAAGTCAGAAGTTTAAGATATAAACTCAGAATTGAGAGAAAAAGTCAGAAGTTTAAGATATAAACTCGGAATTGAGAAAAAAAAGTCAGAAGTTTAAGATATAAACTCAGAATTGAGAAAAAAAAGTCAGAAGTTTAAGATATAAACTCGGAAATGAGAGGAAAAAAGTCAGAAGTTTAAGATATAAACTCAGAATTGAGAGAAAAAGTCATAAGTTTAAGATATAAACTCAGAATTGAGAGGAAAAAAGTCAGAAGTTTAAGATATAAACTCAGAATTGAGAGAAAAAGTCATAAGTTTAAGATAAAAACTCGGAATTGAGAAAAAAAATGTCAGAAGTTTAAGATATAAACTCAGAAATGAGAGAAAAAGTCATAAGTTTAAGATATAAACTCGGAATTGAGAAAAAAAAGTCAGAAGTTTAAGATATAAACTCAGAATTGAGAGAAAAAGTCAGAAGTTTAAGATATAAACTCAGAATTGAGAGAAAAAGTCAGAAGTTTAAGATATAAACTCAGAATTGAGAGAAAAAGTCAGAAGTTTAAGATAAAAAGTCGGAATTGAGAGAAAAAAAAAGTCGGAAGTTTAAGATATAAACTCAGAAATGAGAGAAAAAGTCAGAAGTTTAAGATATAAACTCAGAATTGAGAAAAAAAGTCAGAAGTTTAAGATATAAACTCAGAATTGAGAGAAAAAGTCATAAGTTTAAGATAAAAACTCGGAATTGAGAAAAAAAAAGTCAGAAGTTTAAGATATAAACTCGAAATTGAGAGAAAAAGTCAGAAGTTTAAGATATAAACTCAGAATTGAGAAAAAAAAGTCGGAAGTTTAAGATATAAACTCAGAAATGAGAGAAAAAAGTCAGAAGTTTAAGATATAAACTCGAAATTGAGAGAAAAAGTCAAAGTGCGGGATATAAACTCAGAATTAAAAAAATAAGTAACTGATGAATACCAAGCGCTTGCGTACTTGTGTAAAATATGGTTGTGGCCTGATGATATTAATGTTATTACTTGAGTCTTACCATGAAACAGCTCTCTGTCATACACGGGATCACTGGTCTCCTCGTTCACGGCGCTCTTCAGTGTGCAGGTGTAGGAGTTCTCTGGGTCACTGCTCTCGGTCACTGTTATCGTCCTCGTATTACGATCTCGTCTGTGCAGCGTCTCTCCAGAGCTCATCCAGACGACTGTACTTTCAGAGGGTCCACCATCATCATCACAACTCAAGGAACATTTAGGAACATCTCCCAACTCGCACTCTTTTTTAATATAAGGTTTGCGGACAGGCTCTGTGAATTAAGATGAAAATTAACAACAGTGTATATATATACACTAAAAAATGCTGGGTTGTTTCAACCCAAATTTGGGTCAAATATGGACAAACCCAAATGTTGGGTTAAAAATGTCATTAAAAAATGTACAGTTGAAAGTGAAAGTTGAAGTTGGGTTAAAATGTTAAAATACATCTTTAACCCAACATTTGGGTTTGTCCATATTTGACCCAAATTTGGGTTAAAACAACCCATCATTATTTAGAGTGTATATATATACACACATACAGTGTTGGGGAAAGTTACTTTTAAAAGTAATAAATTACAATTGCGTTACTCCCCAAAAAGTAACTAAATGCGTTAGTTGGTTTTTATGAAAAGTAATGACTGTTAAGTTCAATTTGAGAGAAAAAGGAAAAAAAGTTAATGGTTAAAAAGTATAGATTCGTCATTGTTAAAGAGATTTGAGATCAAAATGAGTGCAGTCTATTGGTTGTGAGCACATGGTGCAACCTGGGAGAAACAAGGTAGCTGATTGGTCATTGAAACTGCACATGCCACACATAACCAGGTGTGTGTGATTACCAGGAGGCAGAGAGATCTTTGTTAGCAGTGAATGTGCTTCTCCTACCCAAGTTGGTGTGTTTTGGTGATTATAAAACCAAAGGAGAAAGACTGCTGGGAAAAGCCACAATGTGTTCATCAACTTTGAGATGCTACTGGTAGGACAAAGACTTACCTTTCTTTAGGGACTACAGATTTTGTGTATGTTTGGAAGTTGTTTGTTAATGCTATAGCAGTTAACTTTCTAACTGCATTATAAGCTTTTTATTTTACATTGCTGTTAAGTTGCTGTGTATATTTTAACAATGTTGTTTGTACTTTGTAGTGACTCATATATCTGTTTTCTGTATAGGTTATTAAGCTAATCATCTGAAATAATCATTGAGAACAAGTACATGAAGATCAAGTCATTGCTGAAAGATTTTCAATAAATTGCTTCGATGAAAAAGAATCCGATGTTTCGTGTTGTTCCACACTCTTAAAAAATGCTGGGTTGTTTCAACCCAAATTTGGGTCGAATATGGACAAACCCAAATGTTGGGTTAAAAATGCAATTAAAAAATTTACAGTTGAAAGTGAAAGTTGAAGTTGGGTTAAAATTTGAAATCACATTTTTAACCCAACATTTGGGTTTGTCCATATTTTAACCAAATTTGGGTTAAAACAACCCAAGTAAAAGTTGATTGAAGTCTTTTTCAAGTTTGGGCAGACATTGAGGCAAAGAAAACCGGATAACTTGACAATGACCTGGGCTGGGCTAGCTTCTTTGTTTTTTACTTTTGTACTTGTCTATTATACTGATATAATATACTTATTCTGATCCAAATGTTCCTCAAAAGGTAAATATGCACCCAATATATTGTATATTTTGTATGTTATTCATTTGAATTAAAACATTTTTATTATAAGTAGCCTACCTGTTTATTGTAGGGTTATTATCACTTACTAAAACTATTCAAAACATTTCTGTTAATTGAAATAAAGCTGAAAAAGTATATAAATAAATGAAATATAAATATTAAATGAAATACTTCAACTAATTGAAAATTAGGAATGTTTCCTTGGCCAAAAAAAAAAGTAAGTTTAATTTGAAGCACTAAAATTATTAACTGAAAAAATAAAAAAATAAATAAAACCGATTCAAATATGAAAAACGAAAAACATGAAAAAAGCACAAAACGAAATTACTAAATTTAAATAAAATAATATAAAATAACAATCTAAGATGAAAAACTTCAACTAAATGAAATAAACTGAAATATTTTTAATATAGCCTACTAAATTATTAACTAAAACCTAAAACAGAAATAAAAATCAATCAAACCTAAAAATAAAGGCTAATATAATAAAACTAGCCTATATAAAAAATACTGGTGTGTTTGTGTCCATCAAAAAGAAAATTATAATTTGAAAAAAATTGTTAATTTTCAAATACATTTTTGTTATATGACCCAGAGAACTAATACATAGTTGTATTATTAGTACATTATTTCTAACACAGCTGTAATATATGTAAATAATTATGATGATGAAAATGAAATGTGCACGTTTTATTCTGACTCACCTATAACAGTCAGAGAGAATTGTTTTCTTTGCTCTTTACTGTTGATGTCGAGGGTATAAACTCCAGTGTGTTTGAGCTGTAGATGTCTAAGAGTGAGTTCTCCAGTGTGTTTGTCCAGGCTTGCGTGGGATCTGAATTTGGGGTTGGGAATTTCAGTGCTGTCATCCTCCCGGTCCCATTCAATGACCTTCACAACAACTCCAGCATTGTCTCTGTGTTTCCATGTAATGCTGGTGGTGCTGGGATCCACAGATCCAGACACTGGAGTGAACGCAGTTTCACTATTCACCGCTTTCATCACATAATCGCCTGAGAGAAATTATATATTACCACATTATACTGACAGCAGGAAACTTATAAGCAAGTTTGACATTGCATTTATATGTTTTTTTCCCAAAACAACATTAAAAAACCTGAGTTTCCATCATTGTTTTAACAGCCGCTTAGTTAGTTCTACTCAATTTTAAGATTTAAGATATTCAATCAAGTGCAATGGACTTGTAATTTTGACACTCTTGACACTCCAAGGCACCAAATTAAACATGAATATACAATTTAAGAGGTTTGATTTTCTTTTAAAGCGAAGACTTCTTATACTAAAAAAAAAATAAAACACAACATTTTGGACATGTATGAGTTGTACCATGATTTGGTCAAGTATTAAGTATCTTTGAGTGTTTTGTAAATGCCAATATAACTTTCTGATGCCATCACAGAACTATTTGTAGCCTATTTGTACTAAAGTCTGAAGTATTACCTGAAACAGCTTCGCAGAGGATCAAGATCCAGAGAATATGAGAACATCTGCATAACATATTTTCTCTGCTTTTCTTCATCTCTTTCGATCTCCTTGGTTCTGTGTTAGTGTGTAATCTGAAGGCATACAGTAACAGAGCTGTTCTGTCTCGAGTCTGTAGGTTGGGTTGAGCTTCATGAACGTTCATGCCCTCTGGTGGCAGAAAGGAAGGATCAATGTGAAATTAACTTCACCGAAAATACAAAAGAACCTCTGCTTGATTGTGTGACAAATGTTTATACCCAAAAGGCTCCCGGAGAAAGAAGACTTCTATTGTGGGACTTTGATAGTTATTTTAGAGTGCGAAACCCGATGCTTCCGGTAGGAGGTGTTATTGTTATTGTTTTGCTGAGATTACTGAGAGAACGGCAGCTGCGCACATAGTGTTTCTTCATGCCTGTTATTTGGATGTTCTTTGGCGTTTTGTTGTTAAAAGTATTAGTACATGACCATAAAGTACGTTTCTCTGATTTGTCGATGTTTCAAGTGTATTATTGAGCTTTGTCCACTTAAATGTGCATGACTTGTAGGCTACCGATTCATGCATGTGCGATGGCAGACAAACCAATAAATAGTCAAATGTGACCGTCTACTTTGTATATGTGTCTGTAATATGTTAACTAATTATTCTGCAGAAGGATTATCCAGTATTATTTCCCGTTGATTATGCTAATTTGGGAAATTTGTTTGTTTGTTGATGCATCTGGATTCGATAATAGCTAATATATATTAATGCCAAAGTAATTTCTTGTGACCAGACCAATAGTTATATTGTCTTCAATTGCCCATCATCTGCATATTTTGAGCTTTAACTGTTATTTAGGTGATACTGAATATGTTAGGCTATTCTGAATTAAGAAGGGACTGATTCATCTGTGAATGTACACATTTATACTTCTACTAATGTTATGTTTTTGTTATTTTAGACTAATATTCAATACACTGTGGAAAGAAGCACCAGTCTCCTCATTCTTTGTGTCCTGACCGACACCCAGGGGTGCTAACAAGTAGAACTTGCAGTATCCTTTCCTCTCCAACACTAAGGTAAAAGAAGCGTCTTTCAAAATAATAGATCGATTTTACCCTGTCAAACATTTTATGACTAAATATAAAGCTATTGATGCACAATGCTCATTTTGCCAAGTACACACATGTTGCTGTTAGAACATGAAAAGCTCTACAAAGTCCCTCCAGCGGGAGTTATTCTCTGTGTCACTGTTCCTGACTTTTCTACCGGGAACGATCACAGTATTCCTCATTTAAATAATTAATATGCAGAATAAAGGGGCGGGGCCTGGTTGAGTTCGTTAGTAGGCCGTTCATATCCATAATAAAGGCTAGATGTCTCGTCCGCGCTGCTGGCCAATGGAGGTCGACGTCCGCACCTGGCGGCCATCTTGTCACAGGCAGCTCGCTCACTCGTAACATTGGCTGTGTCCGAAATCTCCCACTACTCACTATATAGTGGACTATATAGTGAGCTCGCCATTTTGTAGTGCTGTCCGAATGTATAGTGATGATTATTATACCCTATATAGTCTGTAATGTACTCAATGACACTCAATGTATCCCAGAATGCATTTTGAAAAGTAATGTACAACCGATGGTCACTAACCCAAGCCCTACATACCATCATGCATTGCGCTGATCGTAAAAATGGCGGATGGACGTCAAAGAGAGCAGCGCGACAATACGAATTTGTCATACAAATGTAAATGTTCTTTCTCGTTTAACTTATGATATGTAGTAGTTCTACAATTTTGTCAGACATGTATAATCATGTGTGGAGTAACGCATTATAATAGAAACGGCCAGAAATGACTTTTAATTTTACAATTTTGGAGAAATAAGCTCAATATAATGTAATGTATTTATAATAAAAAAAATCTATTTAGCCCAGAGCTGGCTCGTTTAACCCTCTGGGGTCCTTCATTTCAGAGTCCACTCAGGACCTTCGGGTCCAAATGGGCCGGAAGGGTGGGATTAATATTTATTTAAAAAAAAAGCATCTTTTTTTTTTTTTTACTTGTTTTTTATAATATTTTTTCTTTTCTTTTTTGGTGTTTTGAGATAATTTCAAAAATAAAAATGATTTATAATTAATATTAATGCAATAATTATGACCCATTTTTTCCCCATTGAATATAATAGAAATTTTAAAAAAAAATATATATTTTTTTTTAAAGCTGTATTTCATTTTAGAGTCAAGCCTAGGCCTCATGAAAGCAATTTTTGAAATGAGATGGATGCCATCTGGTGGACAAACTGAGCATTTTAAAAATTCAAAACCCATATGTAATCTGAATGTATTAGTGTGTATGTGTATAAAAGTGTGTGTGTGTGTGTGTGTGTGTGTGGATGTGTCTGTTTTGCACTCTTGATGTTTTATAGATTCACCCCTTCACTGTTGTGTGCTTTTTTTCTGGATCGTGGCTGATTTGTAGTTTGTACGCACAAAATAACTCTGTATTTTCACATTTTTGCCAATTTCCCATTAATTTCCTATGCGGGTCCATTTGGACCCGAAGGTCCTGAGTGTGACTATTTTTTTTACAACCACTTAGACTATTCAAATCCTGTCCCCAATTTTTTGGGGTGTTCATATGCCAAGTACCAACAGTCACCAAATTTCGGACCATTCCGATAAAGCAATGATTTAAAAAAAAAAAATATTTAAATGCTTCGGGTCCATTTGGGCCGAAGGACCCCAGAGGGTTAAATAGTGCGACAGTAATGACGTAATCAACGGCGCCGAGAGACGGTCGAGTAGTGTCCGAAAGTGGTGTTTCTATTATGCTGGTGAGCTCACTATATAGTGCTCTACTCCCTACCCCCTACATAGGGGTTAGGGAGTAGTGGTTTGAGTGGAGATTTCGGACACAGCCATTGTGTTTTAGTGGTGCATGTACTTTTTAAATAACCATAACTTGCTCAATTTTCTACCGATTTTCAAACGGTTTGGTTTGTTATAAACGTCAGAGATGTAGTTATGACACTGCTTATTTATGAATAAGTGTATAAATAAATAATCATCCAGAATTATAGCCACGTTAATAACGTTTGTAGGAAACCAAACCGTTTGTAAATCCGTCAAGATTTCATCGAGATAAGAGTATTTATGTTCGTGCTGATCACTCATCTTACATCAGGCACCACAGAGCCCGCCAGAAAGCTTGCCTGTGACAAGATGGCCGCCGGTGATGACGATAGAGACTCCATCATAAGACATCTAGCCTTTATTATGGATATCTATGAGGCCTTTTCTCAATATGCGTTCTTGTTTGTACTTTGTGTTCCTGTGAAACGTCATCAGTCGCTGCCCAAGTACTGCTTCAATTCAAAGTTCACATCCAACCAAGTCCAGTTCAAATCCCCGGATGTGTTTTATTGAGAACCCTTTTATCGAGGATGCATCGAGAGGTGACTTGAGTAGCTATCCCAGGTATCCCAGAATGCATCTCACACTAACCAGCAAGTGTCAATGGCGGAGGAGAAACCCAGCAAATAATAATAATATCGATATGTCTCGAAATGGAGAATTTTCAGGTTAGAATGTAATTGTTTAAAGCTCAAATCAGTGGTTTATTGATAAAAATAGTATCTATTTGAACATTTGATCTGACGTATTCATAGTTGTGGGATCTAGGCGATCAACGAGCGCTTATTTACCCCGCCTGGAACAGCCTTACCTTCGCTAGTCCTTCTGGCATTTGCCGCTGGCTCTGATGTCTCTGTAGGGGTTAAAAACATGAGATATAATTCGCCTTGTATCTAATGGGCGATCTTTGGTCTCATGAATCTGCAGTTTCATAACTTTTTATATATTTAAGCTTTTTAACTTTACCTTTGAAGCCTACTGAAGTGCTGACTTTGTACACTCGAAGCTCTTGGCCAGTCATAACACAATGCTCCAGCCGACCAATCAGAGCACAGTGTGCTTTTCAGAAGGAGGGGCTTCATAGAGACAGGAAGTAAACAGAGCGTTACTGACAGACTGGGAAGAGAGGAGCCGCAACGATGGAGAATATGAGGAGAATAATCAACATTCAAGCAGGAAAACCTGTTCTAGTGGAGCCTGAAAACAACATCAAGACTTTATAAAAGGGCAGAACAGGTCCTCTTTAATGCACATAAATTGGAAAGCATTTCAAAAGAAAAGTTTCTCACAAGATGGCAGCATTGTATGACTTTTAAATTGTCACGCAGTTATGCATTTAAGCCACCAGGTCACTGCACAGACATGCAAACCATTTTTGGGTCGTGATCCACCAGTCGAGAACCACTGTCCTAGATCCAGTGTGAGATAATATGAAAAACATCTACAACAAACCTTTCCATCAGCCTTTCTATCTATAAATTATATATATATATAAAAATGTATTCATAAATCAGTGCTTGCCAGCTTTCTAGTCCGCAAGACCAAAGATAAAAATAGCTGGCCAAAATCTCAAAACATCATATCTATTCTATATCTGTTAGACAGAAACACCTGCTTTATAATGCAGCACTTTAGATGACATCCTTCCACACCTGTGAAGCGCCGTCGCAATTTCTGAACAACTGACATCTTCACTTCATGATTCTGTCTGCATATAACCGCCAACTCTCTGATCGCAAAACAGGAAATTCTTTCTGTTTCCTCCAGTTGATTGTGAAAAAGGTTCTGGAACATTTGCTGTGTTCAGAAGAGCAATGAACTGCCAATACAATCTCTTGTTGTTGTTCCTCTGTGGCTTCGCTGCACTCTCTGGTAGGTTCTGACTTTGTTTTCTATAGATATGTTAATAGACTGAAGTGAAGAAGCCGTTTTTCTTATATATTTTGTAAATGTATATTTTGTAGTTGAGATCAAATGTTACAATGCGATTAAAAGAAATCAAGAATAGTAATCCATAATTAACATTTGATCTCATGCATACTAGGATATTTTATATCAACTCAATTTTATCAAGTCACTGTAACATCCAAATTCGCTTCTGTCAGAAACACTAGTGAAGGCCGTTTTTAAGTGTTAGATCAGTTAAAATATGCCCTTAAAGAAACAAATGTGATATTATAGTGGCCACTTGAACAAATGCACTTCTACTGTCATTTTTGGACACTTTTAAATGCAAATCTAGTGATGTTTACACACAAACTGCTGCAATGAGTGTTTGTTCGTGTCGGCCTTTAATAGAAGACACAGAAAGTCAAACATTTATATATGTTGTCAAATGATAGTTACTCTCTTAAACATAAAGGTTCTGTATTGGTATTTATGTTTCTGTGAAGAACATTTAAACATCGATGAAATCTTTAAATTTTAACTTTAATTTAGCTTATTTAAATGTTCTTCGGAATAAGAAAGAAATGGATATTTTAAGAGCTTTTGACTGAAAGGTTCTTTGGGGAAACAAAAAGTTTTTTTCTGTCGCTGCTCAAACTCCCTTTTTGAACCTTTATTTTTATAGCAGAAAGTCTATATTTCAGAAACTATAAGGTTTTGAGTCAAAAGTAATTTAACAAATGCTTATTTTATCAAGCACTGATTTGTTGGTTTCAAACATCCAGTTCAAAACAGGCTTAAATTATAATAACTTTTTTGTGAAGTTCCAGTCTCATATTATTTTTGCTAACTATCTGTTGGACAGAGGAACACAAGAGAAACACACTAACATGAGTATAAATATATAACAAAGGCAGATTTGAACTCAGAACAGTTTCTTTATAGATGTATAAATGGTCAGGGCATATGTGTTGTAATGTTACACAACTTTAAGTTCTGTTGCTCATAACAATGGTTTGGTATTTTTAAGTTACCTTTTACCTTTGTGGTGGTCCCTTATTGTGACAACTTACCCCGTACAGTGTGACGACATATCCTGTTGTTGTTATAGGAGTCAGTGTGTGTTAAATTAACTTTTTTACGGTGGCAATATAATATTGAAATGTGTTGTCTAAAGTTAGTGTCTTGACTTTTAAAAAAGAAACCCACCCTGAGAATGATTCATTCTCTGTTTTTCCTCATAGTGAAACACATATGAGCAGTTGAACCCTGTTGAGTTTTATTAAATACTAATATGATTTTATTTATTATAGTCTCAACAGAGGAATGTGGAAAAGATCTACTAGTGGGAACGTCCTGCATCATTAAGCGGACATCAAGAAACAAAGAGAAACCACCTGAGATAAAATGGGTCCACGACCTAAACGGCAACATTCTTCGCTGGAAAGGTGGGACTGTCAGAGGAACATATGCAGGTGCATCTATGGAAGAAGATGGATCATTAAAAATGTCAAAAGTTAGTCTGAAGGACACGGGCAAATATAAATTCTACGAATTTAATGCTGATGGTGCAGAGATTGGTACAAGAGAAGTGGAAATTAAAGTATATGGTAAGATGACAAATATTTCTACCCTTCCAACACCATAATAATAACAAAATCAGACTGTATATTTCTATAGTAGTTACAGTATAGTAAATAACCACCATGTGTCTGAAACAGAAAAGGCCCCTAAACCCACTGTGAGCATCAGATGCACAAAAGATGGGAATGCGACTCTCTCCTGTGAGATCGGAAACAGAAAAGATCTGACTGTAACCTGGTATAAAGACAAAATGATCCAGAATGACAAAAAAACTCAAGTTCTCTTGTCATTTACTCAAGTACAGGAGAATAAACCGTACTCATGCGAGGCACAAAATCCTGTCAGCAAAGACAAAAGTGAGAGTATTACAGTGTCATGTAAGTATTTCTTATTTCACATGCTTTTTATTCAAATGGTTAAAAATGCTCTTGTGTTGTCTGTGGGGAAACATCTAAATCTAGATCTTTCTGGGTTTTGAACAGATTGATGTGAAACGTGAAGAAGTGCAGTTTTGGCACTTTTCACGATTTCGCTTTTGTTCCATAAAGTATATGAACTGGTTTTTGGGCCGTTTCCTGTTTTTGCTGCTGACGTACAATCGTGAATCTATGACAGTAAAACAACAGTATTTGTCACATTGACTCTGCAAAATGGTGTTAAAATGTGAACTAACTGAAGATAAGTCAAACGTTTTGACACATTTATTCACTGTTAAAAAAAAAAGTGCAAATAGCTTTCACAACTTAAAATGTATCATTAGAATCATTTCTCTGGATTTAACTTGCTGAGATAACTCAAATATCCTAGTTGATACAGTTTCACATTTCAAGCTGAATATAACTTAATATGTTAAGGCAGCACAAACACTTACTTTTTATAATTGAAACAACAATTATTATTTTCTTTACCGTGTTCTTTATTCAACATCAAAGTCATCAAAACTACACTTTAAAAAATGCTGGGTTGTTTTAACCCAATTTTGGGTCAAATATGGACAAACCCAGCCGTTGGGTTACATTTTTAAATTGCATTTTTAATCCAGTGTTTGGGTTTGTCCTTATTTGACCCAAAATTGAGTTAAAACAACCCAGCATTTTTTCGATTGTACACTCTAAAAAATGCTGGGTTGTTTTAACCCAATTTTGGGTCAAATATAGACAAACCCAAATGTTGGGTTAAAGTAATTTAAAATTTTAACCCAACTTTCACTTTCAACTGTACATTTTTTTAAATTACATTTTAACCCAAAATTTGGGTTTGTCCATATTTGACCCAAATTTGGGTTGAAACAACCCAGCATTTTTTAGAGTGTATGAAATGACACGTCTAGGAATTGTGTTGACCAAAAAAAAAAAAAGTTAAGATAAATAGGAGAAAATGCTTCATTTGTTGATATCAAATTTTGTGTTCAGACTCAATGGTATTGGTAATGTAATTTGCCAACATGCTTGGCATTCCTAAGGAGCAAGACTATGCAAAGTGAGAGAAAATACAACCCAGACTACATAGAAAATGGTTAACTTGCTACTGTAATGGGTCGTACTGTAGATTCCAGCCTTTTAAGCATTATTGAATGAGGAACATGCGTGTTGCACACTTGATGCTTTTACTTCACCATCCAATCCAAATCATCCTGCAATAGACGTTAACATGAAATGAATACATTTACACAACTTTATTAGCCTACAAAATAATTCTAAGCATTTAAATGGAAGTTTTCAAGTTTTCAGATCAAATTGTTTTTAAAAGTTAATTAAGAATAAAGTGTGTCCAAACATTTGACTCTCTCGTGAAATAACGTTGGATCGTACAGTATTACGTATGAGGCAGTTTGATTTTAAGCAGCTTAAAACAGATGTTTTATAATGATTGTCTGTTATTTATGTCATGTGGTCCATGTCTTACAGGTTCAGGTCCAGGTTCAGGTTATGGTAAACTCTTTGGCTTTGATTTCTGGGTCATGTTGGGCATCCTAGCCGGCGGAGGAGCCCTTCTGCTTCTGCTGATCTGTGTTCTCATCATCTGTGCGTGTAGAAGCTGTCGGCAACGTACGAAGCGCCAACAAGGTCAGCAACGTCTTCATCACCTCTAAAATAAATCAATGAGCAATTGTGTTTTCAACAAAAGATCAAACTGAAGCTGTTTGAGCTTGGAAAATTAATATGAAAAATTGAAATGTTCCCGGGCACAATCCTCAGCCAACTCTTAAATACAGGCATTTAAATAAAATGATAAATTCTTTAAGGTTCCTATATAAATGTATCTGCTCAAAAACAACTTGTTATAATTAACAAGTTTAAAACAGGAAAGCGAAGCCTTTTACCACATCAGTTTCCTGTTTCTCATATGTATTAGATTCTTAAAAAAAACTAAACATTTAATGCTTAATATTTGTACATGTTTAATATGTTAGGCCACTAGTTACGTAATGCATTTGCCAGATCTCTTTGTTTAGGCAGCACCAGACAGATCTAGAAAACAGATATAACCGAGCTCCCCATAATATCCTGTATACAAACGTCTTTATGTGGTTTTCTGTGGTTTTTAACAGAACAATCGGCACTAAAAACAGTTTTTTTAAGAATACACACTTTTTAAAAATTTGTACAATAGCTGATCGACAACTATATCATATTCACTGTCTTCCGGTTGGCGTACCCCGAAGTGATAAAATAAAACAAAATTCTTTATCAAATGTATAGGCAAGACGAGTAGTTTGTTTAGGCACGGTTTGTAGGGAAATATATTCAAACAAATATAACTATAGAATCAATTTTTAATGCGCATGTGAACGCCGTCGTCTTAGTGGCCCCTAATGTAATAACAAATGATCATTTTGCTGGAAGTGAATCAATTAAAACTAACTTTAGCTGGAAATAACATTATTAAAAAATCGCTATAAAGCCTAAACAATCTCGGTTACCGTAAATTGTATGTTTATCTCTGTACAGCTGCTTTGAAACAATCTCCATTGTTAAAAGCGCTATATAAATGATGATTTGACTACTGTATGTAGAATTAGCATTCCTAGGTGTTAATTAATTTGAGAAAGTAATCATTCCCAGTGCACGCAAATTTACCAGATCACACTGTTGGTTACTTTACTTTTTTTTAACAATTTCTTTATTTCTAAAGAGATACAACAACAGGATTACACAAATCAAGAACTTGCTACAGGTATATTACTAGCTGCTATATTATATTATGTAAATAAATATTGGTCATCCTGTTCTCTGAAAAATCCATATCAGTCCACCACTTCACATAGCAGATTAACTTTACAGCCTATAGATCACACACATCTGAAAAAATGCAAGTTTATGAACATCTTGCCTTTGATATCTTCCAGATGAGGAGGAGCTCCGGCTAGAAGGTCTGACCCCAGGTCAGAACGGTACAAGCAGATCCAAACAGACCGCTAGAGGGCAACCGGCGCCCCCCGTCCCGCAAGAGGACTCAATACTCTGCAGCCCATCTCCAGAAACCCCTCGAAGCCAGACTCAACCCAAAGCCCAGATCCGTGCTCGACCCCCCCCACCGCCTCAGGACGAGGAGGACCCGCCTCCATTACCTCAGCCCAGGAACAAACAGCACCGAAACAAGAGGAGTCAAGAGCCGTACCGACCAATGGAATGAGACTAAACCACAGTATATGAGACTTTCCTAGTAAAAGCCGAGTAAAAGCCATATATTGATTGAAAAAACAGTTTTCTAAAAATGAAAAATCGGTCATACTCGCCCTCAGAACTATTAGCTATTATTACTTAACTATTATTTTCTTGTTTTTCTTCGTCTTAGGCAGAATGTCCAAGCTATTCTTGTCCGTACAAGGAAAGTATATGGTGATTTACAAGCTTACCATAAAAATTGTATTTACAACATGTGCTGTGCGCTATATATGCCAAGTCTTTACAAATAATCCAAAATATTGACTTTTTTTAAAGTAAGATTTTTAAAAACCAATCTTCTTTTGGCCTAACAATTATTTATACTAATGTGTATTTTATATTATTAAACTGCATACTTTCATTATTCCATGCGTGTTTACGTCATATCAGTAAATAATGGAAAGAATGTTTATTATATATACTAACTAAAAAAAAAATTGCAAGCAATAATGTAAAGCGACAGTACCCGTAATAAAACACGAATTAACATAGTTTGCATCGCATTTGCTGTTCAATAAACAATGTTTCGGTTGGTAACTGTAATACATTATAACTTGGGATAGCAAGAGATTTCTGTAGTTTCCACCATTATCTGATATGAATAGCATTTGTTATGTTGGCAAACGTTTGTAACGTTATTAAAAAACAATTGTTTTCAATAGGTTCAAACAACAGCGGGATATATCTGCTCATATGACATATTTTGGGGGAATTTCCATCTGTCTTTCGTTACTGGGAGAGTTTTGATGTCGTTAGGGACATTAGCACTGATAAAGCGATCATTGTGAACAAACATGGCCACAGCGCGCGCCTCAAGCCATCAGATTCATCCGCGCAGCCGAAGCACAACTCACATAATGACCAAAAATAATGTTCCACCGCGAGCAGTTTTATGCTTCAACCGCGAGAGCGCCAAAAAATGGTAAATGGTAAATGGACTGCATTTATATAGCGCTTTCACAGACCCAATGGCCACCAAAGCGCTTTACATTTGCCTCACATTCACCCATTCACACACTCATTCATACACCGACGGGCGACGGCAGCCATGCAAGGCGCCATCCAGCTCGTCGGGAGCAGCTGGGGTTAGGTGTCTTGCTCATGGACACCTCGACACTTGGTCAGGTGGAACCGAGGATTGAACCACCAACCTTCCGGTTTGTAGACAACCCACTGAGCCACTGCCGCCCAAAAGTAACATAGCTTTAAAATAATAGATCATCACTTGTCTACGAATATATATATATATATATTTTTTAGAGTTTATAGGGGCTGAGAAATATATAGCCTAAATGAAACAACCTCAAATTTGTGTTTGTGAGTGAACGATGATAGAATTTATTATTCCTTTCAAGGTAATTTCTCTCATGTTCTTATTCGTCTCTTTAAACAATACAACAGAGCTCTTGAACATTACTTACATCTGTTGCTGTGGATGCATCATTTTTATTTATTATCTATTCTAGACGGTTGTGTTATTTTAAAGGGTTAGTTCGCCCAAAAATGAAAACTCTGTCAGTAATGACTCTCCCTCATGTTGTTCAACCCCGTAAGACTTTCGTTCATCTTCAGAACACAAATTAAGATATTTTTTATTAAATCTGAGAGCTGGATCACTCCTCCATAGGCTTCTATTGGCCGTCATGTGTGTGATGCGTGTGACGTACAACCCAGAAGCGCTGCGCTGTTACACACGTGAACTCACTCGAGGCCCACAGAGAAGAAAACGAATAGTTGAATAAAGTCGTTTTTTTTTTTTGCGCACAAAAAGTATTCTCGTCGCTTGATAAACTTAAGAGTGAGCCGCTGTAGTCACTCGGACTATTTTAACAGTGGTGGAGGAAGTACTGAATCTCGGTACTTAGTAAAAGTACAAATAACCAGAGACATATTTACTTTAGTGAAAGTAGAAGTACCACAATGACAATCCTACTTAAGTAAAAAGTACCTGATTTTAAATGTACTTTAAGTATTAAAAGTACTTGCATAACAATTTATTCTCTTAATGTCTATATTCTAATGATTAATAAAACAGTTCATCCTAACTCATTCAACCTAATAATCCTATAATGATGTTCAATAATGATGCAAAAGCCGTTATTTTTAAAGTTTTTGTCACCATTTCTGAACAAGCTTGCAATTAGGCAATATACACATCAAGCTTAATTTGACGGGGTTTGTACGGTGGCCGAGACAGCTCAACGCGCTGCAACTGAAGCAAACACATGCAAATAGAAAAAACGCGTGCAAATAGGAAAAAACACCAGCAAATTAAAAAAAACATCTTGCATCAGTTTCACAACACACGTGTGCTCCAAATCCAGAAACGCGCTGCAAAAGTTCACAACACAACCAAATACATAAACGCGCTGCAAATAACACAGACCACAACGGAAATGTTTCCAGGGGAACCAAATAAGTGACGAACCCGGCTGGGACGTGCTTACTGCTCGTGAGCGTCTCTGTGCCCTACCCCCTTCGAAGGGCAGACGGCAGAGCCCTTAAAGTGGGACTTTGGAGTGAGCAGGGCTCTAGTGTGCTGTTAGGCAGCCGTGTGGAACGCACTTGATGAAGGAGCAACTAAAGACAACGTAATTCCTCATTATTTTCACCTGGGATGTTCCCATGACAACGCAGCACGGCGTCCATCAGCTGAAGAGCTGGTCTTACGACAGAAATATAATGCTGTTAACATAACGGTTGCAAATACATTTGTATTTTTACTTTTTTTTTAAATATGCGTTATATATCTGTGTGTCTCAACTTTAAAATTTTGGACCCTACATTACCTAACATTTCTTACGAAACTTTTCTTTATGAAAATGTAAACATAACATGAAACAATTTGTACAGTGTAACTGATGTATAGATAAATATCTTTCCTTCATGTTTTTCTTCTTTATCTTTTTTATTTATTTATTTTAGTTTCCAATTCATTGTTCTTTTCTCATTTGTATTCTGATGACATTGAACATATTGTTAATACATTTTGTACATTGTATACAAGTTGTATGTCATAAAAAAAATTAATGTCTGTATGTTTTGCACAAATAAATAAATAAAGTAGAATTTTAAGCTGTAAGCACCAGCACGCATATATTTATGGATATCTATCTATGCCGGCACGTCCCAGCCGGGTTCGTCACTTATTTGGTTCCCCTGGAAACATTTCCGTTGTGGTCTGTGTTATTTGCAGCGCGTTTATGTATTTGTGTTGTGAGCTTTTGCAGCGCCTTTGTATTTGGTGGTGTTGTGAGTATTTGGAGCACACATGTGTTGTGAAACTGATGAAGATATTTTCTTAATTTGCGGGTGTTTTTTTTATTTGCATGTGTTTTTTTCTATTTGCATACGTTTTTTTCTATTTGCATGCGTTTTTTTCTATTTGTATGTGTTTTTTTCTATTTGCACACGTTTTTTTCTATTTGCATGCGTTTTTTTCTATTTGTATGTGTTTACTTCTGTTGCAGCGTGTTGAGCTCTCTCGGCCACCGTAGGTTTGGCTGTAAACGCGATTAATTTATGGCTTAATTCTGAACCTCTTGGCTTGCCATACTAATCCTAACCAAACGTATAATAGGCTACACACGCACCCCAATAAACCTACCCATGCGTATCACATGCACGTAAAAACAAATTTCCGCGTATAAATTGCACGATAAACACACTGCGTGACAGGGTTGATATGGCAACCAAACTTCACTGGTGAGACAAACGTGCGACGAACGGACGGTCAGGATGACGTTTTGGCAGGGGGAAAACTGATCAGAAAATTTAACGAAAATGTAACAGAACGTTGTAGAAATGTAGTGGAGTAGAAAGTATAATAATTGCTGCAAAATGTAACGAAGTAAAAGTAATAAGTATGCACTATTGATCCAGCTCTCAGATTTAATCAAAAATATCGTAATTTGTGTTTCGAAGATGAACGAAAGTCTTACGGGGTTGGAACGACATGAGGGAGAGTAATTACTGACAGAGTTTTCATTTTTGGGTGAATATCCTTTTAACATGACAGCTGTTTGAGAGGGAATCATCCTTATGTACATACAACTAACCCGATGTTTTCCCTTATCTTCATGTATATCATTAGGGGTAAAACTTTCAAAAGTGTATAGTTGGTCTATGAGTTCAATAAAGGCATTTATATATTTGAGTTTTTGCATATCAATTTTTATTTCAATTTATTCCATCTTTTGCCTTATTTCTCCTTTAAGGTCGTCTGAAAATATGAACAGACGCAAAAGAAATTGGTTTTGACGATGCTAACCGAATCCTGGTGCAAATGCAAAGTGTGTTTTTGTATGCAAAACTCATTTCGGTTCTTGTGCTCTGTGGTGACGTTTTCACACTTAAAATCTACACATCTAACCAGCATGTGAAGGCCTCAGGGATGTGGTTAACTGCATCTCATCTCACCCACAGTCATGTCAGCTTTTCTGCTATTGTTTGCTGTTTTCCTGTGCGTGGGAGATGATGGCCTGTGAAGATGAAGACTGCACTTAAGAGCTCAAGACTAAACATCCATTTGTTTCCCTACATAAGATTATTAATCCCAACCAGTGGATATTGCTCCATAGCTTGTTCTAAAATGGTAAAAATGAATAATGCATGAGAAAAAGTTTACTCTTGTGTCAGTCATGTGGTAAACTGAGATTTTTCTTCTAAAGCATTTGTTCTTTTAGCACGTAATAAAAATACATTGTGACATGCATAAATATTCCATACACAATTAGAACAATTGCTTGCAAATGACAGCATCCTATTGAGATACATTTGGCCTGTAAAGGGTTAGTTCACCCAAAAATTGTCATTAATGACTCTCCATCATGTCGACCCAAGCCCGTCAGACCTCCGTTCATCTTCAGAACACAGTTTAAGATATTTTAGATTTAGTCCGAGAGCTTTCTGTCCCTCCATTGTAAATGTATACGGTATACTGTCCTTGTCCAGAAAGGAAATAAAGACATCATCAAAGTAGTCCATGTGACATCAGTGGGTTAGTTAGAGTGTGTTGAAGCATCGAA